TCCAATCGAGGTGAGACGAATCGTGGGTAGGTGGAGATTTGGAGTAGTTTTTAGGCAGTAGACGATGATGGAGAGTATCACACAAAGCACAGAAAGGAAGGCAATAGCCTAAAGGAAAAAAAACATGCATAAGTTGGACTGGTCTGGGCGCAATTAGATTTCTTAGCATTTCTTTAAACAGTAGAATTCTCGCAGATATGTGAGTCTAGCAGCTAGACGACAGAGCATACGGTATGCCTGGCGATGTGAGAGAGCCTATTTTTCTTGGTATGTTGTCAACGTAAAGAATTCAAAGGTAGAGTTGACGAGTGACGTCTCTGCATACATTTTCTTTCGAAAGTGGAGATCTGTACCTCTGCTTACAGAAGCGATAGGCCTTACTCCAGTAAATTTCATTAAGAATTTCAATAGAATCGTGAAGCATGGAAGAGTTTAATACTTTTCGAAAAAATTAACCTTCCGAAGATACAGACGAGAAAAAAGGCCTTTAACATGAATCTAATATGGCGGTTGTTTTTTTCCAGTCTGGACCTCAGATTCGACACCATCTCGAAAGTTATGCTTGCTATGCAATAAAATGCAACTTTCGTGTGGCTTAAAAGGATGTTGACGCGGTGATCAACTGAAATTAAAACTGAGGTCCAAAGTGAATGAGAATGGCGGACTGAAGTTCATCGAAAAAATGGCCATTCTCTTCACTGCTGTAGATAAGGTCTTGCTTGCCCTTCTGTAAAATGTTAATCGAAATTTGAAGGTCTATACACAAATTCGCCTTAGCTTCCCCATCCATATTCACTTTGTAGGCTAGTAATAAACCATTTATTATCCTAACCAAGAATAGATAAAATCACAACGAATGAAAGATGCCAGTAAACTTAATGATATGAGTTGTTTTTTCAAGCCACTAGACAATCTCCAAGGGATCCGAAATTTTCTATAAATTCATTATGGCTCCCAACCTCCAGCTTTGCCGTATTGAAAAGGAAATTGGTTGGGAGTTGAAGAAAAGTATGCAATAAGCATATCTCGTTTCTCTTTATTGTTGAGAACACTGGCATCACTAACCATACCTTGAGCAGATGAACTCAAGTTGAAGGGTATAATGAACGTAAATGCTCTATTTTCAAGGATAAAATGACATTAAAATAGGTTTTATTGATATAGACATAATATAAACCACCACAAGGAAGCGGGTTTGCTAGACGAATAGGCCTGTTGTGTGAACAGACAACTCTCTTAAAAACATCCTAAACTAGGATTAATCGAAGGTATGAAGATCAAGATGGTGTGGTCCCCTTTCGTTCTATAGAAGTT